AGTAGGATAAATCGATGCTTGACGGAGAGGCAAATAGACCTTCCAACCTCAGTCCAAACGCAGAGCTTTGGTTATTTTCCTTAGGGCTCTATTGGATTGGTTGACGGCGGCTGAGCAGAGGGCTCAGACAAGACTTGGCCTACAGATGATGTCCTTTGTGTTTATCCATTAATGTGTAAAGAACCTTTACCATTTTGGGGTGGATATTGGTCCATTCTTGGGGGAGGGGTGTCTGGAGTTTCAAACAGCAATGTCAAATAGGCCATAATTTCACTGTGCAGCATTGGTTTGTTACAAATTCTTAAATCTTGTTTCCCATATTCAAATACCCTCAAATTTTGTCCTCAGGGATCAAAAGAAATGCATTCAAATCATGACTTGAACACCATATATAGGGCTGACACTCAAAACACTACAGTAAACATCAAGCAACAAAGTCGAGATCAACTGGTCTCAAGTCTCACAAATCTCAAGTATCAGCTACAGTGGAAACTTATCCAAAAGGTCAAACTTTAGTGAGCAACTATGTGCATGTGTTGATTTGTTTGCTTATGCATGTGTGCATGAGATGCAGAGTTGTACAGTCTGAACTTCCAAATTTATAATTTATTGATGTAAAACCTTACAAATTAACAAATAAAATCTGTCCATTATATAAAGCAATTGTATCTCTTCACAAGACTAATGATTAAAGATCGGGTTGGGAATAAAGATTGGGAATGACATGTGGCTGAGTAAATGATGACAGAATTTTCATTTGTGGGTGAACTAGCCCTTTAAGACCTACATAGCTTAAATCTCTTTTACGTGAACATCAAAAAATAACTCCTTACTGTATGTCACTAATCTATCTAATGTATTTTTCTCTTCTTTGTGAATTTATATGATGATTATTAAATGATTATACTAAGTGTTACTATTAGAAGCATTCCAGGCCATGATTTGATCCTGGCTCTTCTGTGGGGGAAAAATCCCACATTTTCCTACCGATCTTGTTCAAGTGGAATGATTCAGAGTCTCTGAAGATGTTCGAGTCACTTTTGTTGCGTGGATGGATCGCATAACAGGTCTCCACTTTGCCTCACAGGGGTGGTCTCTTGCGCCCCCCAAATGAATGCAGACAATCGGTAGCCAATTGTAGTGAGGGACAGATTTAACGATGTCTTTGTGTGGATTAATTGCATGGGATTACTAGATTCTCGGTGCAAAACCTGTTCAACAAGAGCTGTAGGATACTCCCCCACTGACAGAGATTGGTGTCGCCATCCACCAATCCTACACACGCGCACTGTTCAATTTTCTTTCTATAATTAATAGCTAATTCACTTGTTTTTTTCTGGAATACTGGAAAGTGCAACCCAGTTTTCAGTGTGCGATTTATAGGCTACACTGATTTTAAGGTGACCAGCAATTTAAGGGTTTTAAAATAATTTTTAAACTTAATGTAAATTAAGGTAGGTAGTTTTCTGGACGCAATCTGCCGATGTTCTCTCCCGCAAGCAGTTAGCTAAACGCCACTTATCGAAAATACTTGGTAAACAAAACACTGAAGTTTTGAATCGTAATACGAATAATGATATGTGGTGCATTCTGGACCGCCCGACATAAGCGTGACTGGTGTGCTGTTGCTATGGTTACCTGGTTTAGCAATCGCGATTTTTTGGCATCTGTTTGGCAACAGTTAAAGTGCACGCTCAGATTAACTTGTAATGTAACTTTTTGAAAGCTCTATATAAGCTACCTGTATGAAACAATATGTGTTTTTGCGAAGACCACTTGACACCCACCTCCCCCCAAATTCTTATCTGCTTGTAATGCAAGATATTTTTTTCTGCGTCTCAGCTGATCAGATCATTGATTAGCGTAACTATGAGAAGAGTTTGATTATTGTGTGATTTAAAGCATGTCTTTGTAAAGTTTAATTAATTATTAATATGACCGGGATCTTGTGTGAAAATCCACTGAGGGAAATATGTTGATGTATGGGGAGACAGCTACCTAATTAAACCATAAAAAATGGAATCTTTACAGCATGCGGGTCATATAATTACTGTTAATTTAACGCTCAGATTCTCTGTCATTAATTTTTATTCCCTTAAATGTAGTTTGGCAGCGGTTCCCGGGGCTCAGAAATAGATTTCACTGTATTTGAGAGAGCGCTGGCCCTTCCAAATGAATTACCATAGACCCCACAGTCCAAATAACAAGACTCGCATCATTTATAGGTTGTTAAGCCATGTAATTGAACGATCCATAGTTTGCATATTATACCATTAATGTAATGTGCTTTGGTTTTCTCCCAACACGACTATTCAAGCTTCTGTGGCGTTGTGGTAATTCTCTGAATTACAACCTTAATTGCCATAAATGTTCTTTTGATCTGGGTGATTTCACTGTTACGCCACAATGATGTTCATTATTACGCGGATGAATTTCCGGAACGTGTCTTTAAAGTTTTCCGTTTTCTTCTTTTCATTTTTGGAACGCCCTTTAACCCCCAATTAGGCCATCCTTGGATATTTGTTGTGTCTTTTACCTGTTAACTGATTAGTGGCTGCCTTGGGATTTTTTATATATACCCTTTTTATCTATACCTCTTCTTCTTCTTCCTCATTTTTTTTTTTTTGGATATGGAAAATTGTAAAACTAAGCAGTCATAGAGACCACACTGTAGCCTACAACAAGAACTTAAGAATGCTTACAGGCCCGTCTCATCTGGAAACAAAACAATTGAACCAATTCAAACAAAATGAACCTTTGTATGTCCATAATAATCACACACAAAACCTTTTTTTTCCTGACATTTCATAAACATATGAATCTGGATAGCCTATATACCCAGAGCTATTGATGTTCCTTTCAATAGCAGCTAAAAATATTTTAAGTAGTTTTTTATTGATATAGGCTAAACGACTTCTGTTTATAATAGTTTAAGGTAAATGTGTTGAATGTTATTGAAGGCCTACATTGTGGACTTTATTGGTATTTCTACCTTGTTTATTAGGCTATGTAGGCTGTTGTTCAGTGACGCGTAATTGGACGGTGCTGTACGCCCTGCTTCAAAGTTCATTAGTTGTGCAAATTACACTTTATTTACTACCTTTAAACAGTTCCTTAAAATCAACTGATCTCTCTCTGTCTTTCTTGTTTCTTTTTGTCTTTTGTCCATTATCCATTCTGATTTACGTAGGGCCTTCCAGAGGAGGCGATACTGGTGACGTGTGAGGCGTTGTTTAATGTACTGCTCTCTATAGCAACCAGCAGAGCTGCTGAAAAAATGTCCCCCCTCCTCGGACAATGTCGTGTGCTTTTCTTTACAGAGGCTCACAGAGAAGCCAGCTGGTCAGCTTTAGACACCTGCGGTCCCAAACGGCCCACTGTTTTCCCTCTGAAATATTCCTTTGACTTGTACACCGTGCAAACCCAGAGAAAAAAAAATATATATATATTTTTTAAAGATTTATAAGGCAGTTGTTAATTAATTGGATATTTAGGTGTAATTAGATATTTAAAATGCCATGTTTGGAGTAATAGTTGTTTTTATAATTATATTTGTAATTAAACGAGATAAAGAAAAATAAACAATATTGCACTTACCGCCTAATAAAGGCATAGCCATTATGCAACACATGTGCTTCTGTCTGTGAATTACAACATTTTTTTTTTAATCAAATCGGCATTACTGTGCTTTATCTGGGACCAGATCATGTGAACGCAATTTATACCTAAAAACGTTTATGAGAGTTTTTTGCCTCCTTTTGGTCATTAATTAAAAAAAAAAAATGGAAGGCTGTTTTGTTTTATTTTTTATTTGATTTTTTTAGCCTATTTATTAACTGAAGCTGTCTTTTACCCACTTTTTAGTACGCGTCCTACACGTATATCTGCTTTTATTTGTTTATGCTTTACAGAGATGGTAGAAGTACAATTTATATATACAGCCAACATATTTTCTGCTCTTTATTTCTGAAAGAGAAAAATGACAACATAATATAACGTCATGTTTCTCTTTCTTATAGTATCACCTTTGAAACTGATGTAAAGTACATCACTTTTTAAAGTAATACATGTTTAAATGTTAAATGAAATATCTGCCTCAAAATAAATACCAGTTTGTTTCTTATTGTTCTTTCGTTTCTTTCTTTCTTTTGTGATTACAATTTTTTTTCTAACACTAATCTGCTCAAGACAGCATAATTTCACTCATCAAAGTTCATTTCAGTCCAATTCAAATTTATTTGTATAGCGCTTTTCACAATACACATTGTTTCAAAGCAACTTTACAGAAAATGCATGTCTATTACATAGTTATTGCCTGTGATGGCCAGCAAACGTAGCTATTCATTAAAGCCCTGGTTTGTTTGTTTGTGGCAGTTCTTCAAAATCAAACACCTGAATGAGACAAACGATATTTTAAACAAATTAGTTAATATCTGGTCTAAAGGTTGAAAAAAAAATTCTTTAATACACTTTAATTTAATTCTTCGTAAAGTCCGTAAAGTTAACTGTGTCCAAATAGCCTACTTCTTTAGGCCAGCAAACATCACGCTAGAAAGATTAGATAGCTTCCCTTATTTGACAAATGAAACCCCGAACCTGTAATCAATAAATATATGAAATGACATCATATAAAATTGTTTTAATTTATTGCATGAATTCTATTAAATAAGACACATACATACATACATACATACACACACAAAATCGCAAATTCCGTAACAGACAAGTTTGAAATGAATTTCTCTCCAAGTTATAAAAATCATAACCTTTGATGTTCTTCACTCCGGTCTTGGTGGCCCGTCGGTCCCTCACATTTCAGAGGTGCTCCAGGACACTGAGTTCTTTTGAGGGAAAAAAGCAGTGTTTGTTAAGACTCTCCAGCATCCAATGAAATGAAGGCTGCCTCCAAAAAACGCGTCCATCGTCCCTTTCCACCCAATGAGCGTCGTCGAGGGGCGGAGCTCAGGTGCGCGCCGCTACGTACACTTGGCAAAGAGCCTGGGAGACGCCTGTGGCAAAAGAGTAACTGTCAAATGCAAGGTTCCTTTAATAGGAGTGATCAGTCCGGCTCCGAGAGTCATGGCGACTACAGCATCCAATCATTACAATATCCTCACCTCCAGCCCATCTATTGTACACTCGGAGCCTGGGAGCATGCAGCAAGCCACGGCTTACAGGGACGCGCAAACCCTGTTGCAGAGTGACTACTCGCTGCAGAGCAACAGTCACCCGCTCAGCCACGCGCACCAGTGGATAACAGCCTTGTCACACGGAGAAGGAGGTCCGTGGTCGTCCAGTCCCCTCGGCGAGCAGGACATCAAGCCAGCGGTGCAGAGCCCCCGGGACGAGATGCACAATTCCAGCAATTTACAGCATCAGTCGCGGCCACCCCATCTGGTACATCAGACACACGGGAACCATCACGATTCAAGGGCATGGAGAACAACGACGGCGGCTCACATCCCCAGCATGGCCACGTCGAACGGACAGAGCCTTATTTACTCGCAGACCGGCTTCAGCGTGAACGGTCTCATCCCGGGCAGCGGCCAGGGCATCCACCACCACAGCATGCGCGACGCGCACGAGGACCACCACAGCCCGCATCTCAGCGACCACGGCCATCCACCGTCCCAGCACCAGCACCAGCCGCACCAGAGCCACCACGACCACTCGGACGAGGACACGCCGACCTCGGACGACTTGGAGCAGTTCGCCAAACAGTTCAAGCAGCGGAGGATCAAGCTGGGCTTCACGCAGGCGGACGTCGGACTAGCTTTGGGAACGCTCTATGGAAATGTGTTTTCGCAGACCACGATATGCAGGTTTGAGGCCCTGCAACTCAGCTTCAAAAACATGTGCAAGCTCAAGCCTTTGTTGAACAAGTGGTTGGAGGAGGCAGACTCCACATCTGGCAGCCCCACGAGCTTGGACAAGATAGCTGCGCAGGGGAGGAAACGGAAAAAGAGGACTTCCATCGAGGTAAGCGTCAAAGGGGCTTTGGAGAGCCATTTCCTTAAGTGCCCAAAGCCAGCCGCGTTGGAAATTACTTCGCTGGCGGACAGTCTGCAGTTGGAAAAAGAGGTAGTGAGGGTTTGGTTTTGTAACAGAAGACAGAAAGAGAAACGGATGACTCCTCCCTGCGGACCTCTACCGGGTCCCGAGGACGTATACGGAGACACGCCGCCGCATCACGGGGTTCAGACGCCAGTTCAGTGAGAAAAGACAAAAACAATACAAAAACAAGGACATATCTTATCATACTGACTGCTTCAGTCTTCATTTATGATTATGTTCACATTGGAGCTATCCAAAGTGAAAGCAGCTGCGGTTTAGACTACTGAGGCGGGAGAGCAGATTATATCCGTCTTCAATGTTACTCAGAATTCGTACTGCTGCAACAGAAGGGACCGTGCGTTCCCCGCGCCAGCATAGAGAACGGTTGTTCTGTGAATACCCAGCACTGTGAAAAGACGCAGTTTTAAGGTGTAACCCTACTATTTATCAAACACTTTGAGACGAGCGAAAATGTCCTACTCAAACGCGAGCATGGTTGTCCCATAGCCAGATGTTTACATCTAGACGCATTCACTGCATTTTCTGTTGCGAGATTAAACTGAAAAGTGACTAGTGCTGCAGCATTGACAAGTACACGCCATTTTAACTTTTGTTGTGGGCGACTGAGGGTGAACATCGATTCGATTGAAAAAAAGAAAAAAAAAACATTAGTGTGACATGCATCCACCCACAGTATTCTTCCATTTTCTTGGGATCAAAAGGCCTTTAAACATTATTATTATTATTATTATTATTTAAATACAGCACGGTTATGTATCAATTCTCCTACTCATGGAGACACAGTGAGATGCAAAGTCACACTAAACAGATGTAGTCTTAGCGCCAAGAAATTAGTCTCACCCAATTGATTCTGGTGTTTTTCTCGGTTTTATCAATACGTATGGGTCTAAATTGAAAATAAATAAAAAGAAACCTCCAGCATTGAGCTGCAGACACGTCACCGAAGGGCTAGTGCTAGAAACCTGGCATTTCCTTCGATCTAGTCATATTACCATAAAATACAATTGTTTCACAGGACTCCACACAGTGCTGTAAATATTGTATAATTTTTAAAGGACATAGCTACATTATTCTCTCACTTGAGCACTTTTTCGTATTATTTAGAATTTGGAAAAGATTTTAGAGTTTTTTGTTTATTTTATGTTTGTCTTATTTGTTTAACATTAGAGTCTCGGTATATTTTGCTTTTATATTTATAGTCAGTTAGCCGAATATTGCTTGCTATCTCCTACGGAAGTCAGTTGCTTTTTAACCCACATTCAGCTGCTTTTTTATAAATTATGAGCTGACTTTACTATATGTTTATGTATAGTAAACAATGTTCAGTCTTCAACAATGTTAGCACTATTTTCTACCCAACGAATTCAATATTATATATCTCAAACATTTGAATGTCTTTTTAAATTATTTTGAAATAGATATTATTTACACAGTATCGTGGAGAATGAGAAAAGCAAGTGATGTGACCTGCAATATTTTCATTTAAAGTCAAACGATTCTTCATTGTTTCATATGACAAAGCGTTTTTGTGTATTTTATATTTCCATAATTTATCAATCATATCAATTTGAAACACGAGCACTATTATTATTATTATTTATTATTATTAAATATTCTCCACGTTTACCCAACATCAGAGCTATACAGTAAAATGATACTTAGACGTTGGATTTAACTGTCTTTGTTCTGTTTGTTTTTTATGCTTTATAGTTCTTTATTGTGTTGGTTCCGGTTCGCATTTATAGGGACACGATGCAGTGATGATTTACTGAAAATGTAAACACTGGAAGATTGGAAAAATGGGAAGATTTCTCCCAGGGGCTTGCTATACGTCACTATGTGTAAATACAATACAACAATCAGAAATTATTATTATTATTTTCTTATTGTATTATTTTGCTTATATTTTAATTCATATTTTGGTGTAAATCTATTCCACAGAAATTCCAGGGACATCTGTTATTATCGTTCTACTTTTTTTTTTTTTTCAAAATAAACATTTACATAGATTAATTGATCAAACTGTCATGTAATTCTACAAATACTGTGGGAGCTATTTATTTGTTGTTTATTTACTCTGTCAGAAAGACTCCATCAAACGTTGAACTGGATGATTTTGTGGGTATAATAAAATGCGCAGAGGTTGTGATAGAAATTTTATTTTTTAGTATATGATGTTATTTTTTTTTCTAAATCGAAGAATCAAACCTGACATGTCGTTGGGAGTAAAAAATATGCGGACAAAGCTTGTATTTATTGACGTCTCGGTCAAGTTTTTAAACGAAATTTTAAAATGTGAAACAGAATTAGCAAAACTACACTAAATGGTTTTATATGGCAGCGCAATCTTTTGATCTTTTGGAAAAATTGAGAGCGTTAAATTTGTAATCCACAACAAATGCAAACAAATAAGTTTTGTGTATTTTCCCTGAAATAGAAAAAAATATATATATATATAGGATAGGCTATAGTTACCCTGAGATATTGAGGATTGATGCTGAGTGTTGCTTTCAGCGTTTAACACAGCGCGCTGTTTGTTCGGCCATTGTTTAGAACATCTAAACTAGTTAGATTTAAATTTCGTAGATTTAGTAAAGAACCAGTTATAGATGAAGTACTATTATTTAAGGTGTCGCTTAGTTGTGTGGCATTAAAACGGGGGCCTCAAATAGGCCTTCTTTTATGGCATTAATTTATTTAGCAATGAATGTAGTTAATCAGTTTTCAGTTAAATTTGAATATAATTTTGACAACAGTAAACCATAAAAGTTTATTTTACTGATAATGTGAAACATTACGTCGTCTTCGTAATAGCTTTCATAACTGTGTCGATTAATGATAGTGAACCGAATTTAAATTCTGGAGTTGCTTTTACATGTTTTTCGTGGTGCTTGCTCGGAAGGTTTGCAATAAGCGAATCGTGCAAATCCCAGTCCCTTTCCCATTCAGAGATTATAGACAAATTATAGATAAATTACAACTAGACTAGTTAAAAAAGTTTTAAAGTGATAACATTGTTTCCATATTTAGGAAAACAGGACGTTTTAAGTCAAGAATTGAGCTATTAATACCGTGATTGTGTAAAACTGTCATCCTTATCCTCTAGTGCCATCTAGTGAGGTTTTATTCTAAGACACCTAAAGCAACATTGATTAAACGTAACAACAGCAGCACATGGCGGCTTGTAGCTCAGCATTAAGTGGTTTTCTTCGGTGCTCTTTGATCTCAATATGCTTCCATGTTAATTTGCACAGTTTAATGTTACACATACCACGGATCATAATGAATCATAATTAATCCTGGTTTCCCCCCAAAACATATAGGCTACTTTGGTTGAAAATACCAGAAGCGTTTGAATTTTCTGAACTTTTAATTTTCTTTCTGAACTATGATTAGTTTTGCTGAGGTATAAGACACACAATAGACATGAACATTGGAAATTGTATTTTGAATATAATATTTTAAATGTCCACCAGCTTATCTTTCATTAAAAAACACCTTTACATACTGCAGACTCAATTGCAGAAGGCCTATTTTAACTATAAATAAAAGGATTTTGTTTAATATTAAATTATATCAAGCAGCTTATGCATGATGCTCTTGCATTTTCTAAATAATCCTAAAGAAGGTTTTTTTTCTCTCAAACAATTACTGTGTATATTGTATTTAAATTTTAAAAGTTTTTTAAAACGTTTTTACAAATGAGCAATTAGAAATTAATATGAATATAGAGGTAACCTGTTGTGCACAACCTGTAGATATTGCATTAACAAAACCCCTTTAAAATCTTATTTGGCTTAGAAAAGTGCATCAAAACCTATGATGGGTCAACTTTTTATGAGAAAATTCATTATTTTTATGGTGTTCATGTTCTGAAAATAACTAACTGCAAAATTATGCATTACATGTTTATATATTTTTAGGCTTTCTTTTGTTTAAAACTTGCTTATGTCAGGAAACGTGTGAGGCGTTAATAAGACTCCTAAAACTAGATTCTGTTACAAAAGGTATATGAAACAGAGAAAAGGCCAAATGCAATTTGATGCTAAAACCATTGTAGCAGGAGTGCAGTGCCACTTCTAAATTACAGGGTCTATAAGCAGAGGCAGACAGTATTATTATGCTTTCTGCTGTTGATCTATTTACAGGGGCGTAATGACAGTTTTCTGTATAGAAATCAAGAAATCGTTTCGTCTAATTAACTGCATCCCTCCAGGTCCTCAGGGCACGTTAGAGCTCCTCAGTCCATCATTAAAGTAGACATAAACAATTCATTACATCACTGTTAGTCCAATGAGACTGTCACTGCCAGATGCATTATTAATACGCTGTTAAACTCGGAGGGATTAAGACCAGGGAAGTTTTTTGACTTTCAGCTTGACCAAATTATTGAATCTCACGGGTGGAGATAATATAGACCAACCACTTGCCAAACATAATGTGTGTGATTTAGCACTAGTGATAAGATCAATGCTTTTATAATCTAACAATCACAAGAAAAAGACAAGCACACAAAATATTAAGCCTCACTTTATTGAACCAAGACCTCGACTGTCACTCTCAGATCTGACATGATGCCTCCTGCTTCCAAAAGGCACACATTTAATACAATATTCAAACTGACAACAAATAATTCACTGTAGCTACAGTACAATTTAACATAAATACAATCTATTTAACGTTAGGTTGCGTCTAATTAACTTTAGAGTTTGTTTACAGGGTGTGCTTATTATACTTCTAGTAAAGCACAAGTAAGTTAAATATGGCACTTAAAAAACTTTTGCCAAAAGCATATTTTATCCTTAATCCTAGTTTTGACTTGAATAGTTGTACACCTTTAAATAATAAAGTACATTGCCATCTGTGTTTTTCAAAATGAAAGTGTATTAAGAAAAAAGAAAAACCCTTTGGTTTAGGGTGATTTTAGCAAATCACAATTTAGCATAGCACAATATAGACGACCAGCAAACAAACAAAGCACTTCTCTCTTTAAAACTAAGGCACAAGGATATGTCATCTACCGGTTAGCATGTGCCTTTGTAAAAGGAAACGTCAAGTTTTGCAATAGAGAAAGCTTATATTTTGGTATTTGCCCTATTGTGTATATACATGTGCATAACAGGATTGACTCAAGATATGGGCAAAGTTTCACACAAACAAGGTATTGCCACAAAAGATTTCTGTGCCCAAGATTCAAGTCAATGTCCTGAATTTATAATCAATCAATAAATAGTCATAGTACACCCTTTCACGATATTTAACATTGATTTGACAACATTTAACAAAGCAAATAAAACAGTGGTACTGAAACACTTGAATAAGTACGTTTAAAACGAAACCATTCGTCTGTAGTACAGCATACTACAAACGTCTCTCTCTGAAGACAAAAATTTAACCCTGAGATTAAGATCAAAAACTGAGGTCTGATGAAATGTGTGAGATTCAATACATAGCGAGACCATTCAAGCT